TTTATATATAGTTTTACCTCTTCTTGTGTGATTCCGATATACTTTTTTAAAATTGCAAAGAAAGTTTTATAATATTTGTAGTAATTTGCTTGATCATGAAAATATTTCAAAATTAAAGCATACATTTTTACGTTATATTTGGAGACTATACGGCATTTTTCAAACTTAACTACACTATTCTTTACAACTGGCTTAATATAAAGAATTCCATTTTTGTTAACCTCAAAATTCTTGTAGCAGCGAACGAAGTTGAAACATATAGTGGGGTGATAGGGCCAGTGTTAGAAATCTGTTTTGAAATTTATGTTCTTATGAGAACATATTTACTTAATTTAATGTTTTCAAAAAATTTTTTATATTCTCAAATAAAAAAAAAAATTTTTTTCTCTCTCTCACTATAGTTAAGTATTGGATTGCTTTTATTATTATTTTAGTTAATCCAAATTTGAAATATACACTTCTTGCAAAAAAGTATCTACCTTAAAAATTATGAGCTTTAGTTATCGATATATTTACCAAAAACAGAGTGATATAAAATATCATAAGTGTATAGTTTATAGGCATTTTTAGTGATACATGTTCGCAAAATCTTATAATTGATTATACAATATATTATATATATAGTATGTAATTTGTTTAACCATTACGAACATTCAACCTGTATATTTTATTGTTTTAACAAGTTTTAGTCTTAATTAAAGTGAATGACAATCATCTATTATTATAAAAAAGTACATTTTTTTTTTGTTTTTTGAAATTGAACTAACCAAATATGAATTGTTGCCAACTGTCTTTCAGATAGCCTTCAAAGGCTAACAGTTTATTTGAAGCTAGTTTTAGCTGCTTAATAGAGCTAATTAAAGCAAATTAGCTGCAGTTTTTAACTATAGTTTAGTATTAGCTGTAATGAATAGCTTTTTAAATTATAGCTCCAGATTAAGCCATAGTTATTGAAGCCAAAACTTGTATTATGACTTGTACTGTAGCTCAAACTGATAGATAATACTAATACAGCATTGCATTAAATTTATTACATAGCTATAGTAATAATCATTTTAGAGCAATATAAATTTTATGAAGCTTTGCAAGCATTAATAGCTCTAAAAAATTTTTAATAGGCTAAAATTGGTCTATAAAACTCTTCATTATATAATATTGGGTTTTCACATGCCATATATTGCTAAAAATAAGCCATTTTAGAAAATAAGCTACTCCCTCTTTTCTTGGAGAAGAAACATAAGAAAATTTGTTATTCCAAAAATAAGCTACCCCTAATAATTTCTTAAAATCTGGAAGTAGTTTCTATATATAAAAATCAAAATTTTATTAAGTAAATCGATAAAAGTCACTTAATAGGAGTTGTTTAAGACGTAAAAATACATATATTTTAAAAGTTTGAAGCAAATCGGAGAACTTTTACTAAGATGTTTTTGCATTTTATATTAAAACATAAAATGCAAAAACATATTAGTAAAAAGTTCTCCAATTTGCTTTAAACTTTTTAAATATGTGTATTTTTACGTTCTAAACAACTTCTATTAAGTGACTTTTATCGATTTACTTAATAAAATTTTGACTTTTATATATAGAAACTACTTCCAGATTTTAAAAAATTATCAGGAGGTAGCTTATTTTCGGAATAACAAATTTTCTTATATTTCATCTCCAAGAAAAGAAGGGGTAGCTTATTTTCGAATACAGCTTATTTTCAGACACATATGGTATCTTAATTTTTTTTTGCATATATATATATATATATATATTGTATATTGAAATTGTGAGAAGCAAATTTTTTTTTTTGCATCTAAAACTTGAGAGAAAATTGGTTTAAATATGATAAGGGAGCTGACAGAAAAGAGGTCATTATAGCTCCCTCTTTATATATACCATATCTCTCTACTCCTCATCCCCTACTTTTCCACTACCCCTATCCTCCTACTATTTCCACCCTCCTACCTTTCCACTACCTCGATTTTCTTATCCCTTCCTACCTTACCCACCTTACCCTCTCCTACCCTCACCCCTCTACTCCCACTCTTTCTACCCCCCACCCCTCTACTTTAATTTTTTACATAATGGTCCAAATAGCACAATAATAGTTATATAGTCGTTATAGCGGTTATGTGCTTGCCAGTCACATAACGGCCCAAAATGGCACAATAATGGTTATATAACTGTTGTAACGGTTATGTGCTTGCCAGTCACATAACGGCCCTAAATACATAGAACAATAACGGTTATATAACCGTTGTAACAGTTATATGCTTGTCAGTCACATAATGGCTTCGAATACGCAGAACAATAACGGTTATGTACTTGTTAGTCACATAACAGAACAATAATGGTTATATAGCCGTTGTAATGGTTGTGTGCTTGTCAAAGTCACAACGCATATAACGGCCTCGAGTGGCACAGTAACTAACGGTTATATAACGGTTATGTGCTTGTCAAAGTCACATAATAGTCTCGGTAATTTATGCTTAATTTTAGATATTCAATAAATAATAAATACAATGCATACGTACAAGTTTTAATTTTATTGAAATAAAAGTTTATATTAAATGTTCCATGCCTTATATGAACCACAACAAAAGTTATTCAATATTTGACACCGTTATTATCAATGGCTTGTATTGCCAACACTTCACAAAGTTACATTTTACTTCGTCAACGAATCATAAAACTTGCAAAAGAAAAAGAAGATATTAAATAAAATACAAAAAAGCAGCAAGAAAAAAGAATCTATTAACTGGTACCTATTTATACCAGTTCCAAGTCCCACCCGGGTTCAGATCTCAATCTCGACTTCCATTTACCTTCGTCGTCGACAAAACATAAAGCCCACAAAAAAGAAAGAAGGTATTAAATAAAATACAAAAAAGCAGCAAGAAAAAGAAACCTATTAACTGGTACTTATTTATACCAGTTCCAAGTCTCACCCGGGTTCAGATCTCAATTCTGACTTCCATTTAACTTCGTCATCGACGAAACATAAAGCCCGCAAATGAGAAAGAAGGTATTAAATAAAATACAAAAAAGCAGCAAGAAAAAGGAACCTATTAACTGGTATTTATTTATATCAGTTCCAAGTTCCACCCGGGTTTCAGATCTCAATCCCGACTTCCATTTCACCTTCATCATCGATGAAACATAAAACTTGCAAAAGAGAAAGAAGGTATTAAATAAAATACAAAAAAGCAGCAAGAAAAAGGAACATATTAACTGGTACTTATTTATACCAGTTCCAAGCCACCCGGGTCTTAGATCTCAATCCCAACTTCCATTTTACCTTCGTTGTCGATAAAACATAAAACTTGCAAAAGAGAAAGAAGATATTAAAAAAATCAGCAAGAAAAAGGAACCTATTAACTGGTACTTATTTATACCAGTTCCAAGCCACCCGGGTCTCAGATCTCAATCCCAACTTCCATTTCACCTTCGTCATCAACGAAACATAAAACTTGCAAATGAGAAAGAAGGTATTAAATAAAATACAAAAAGTAGCAAGAAAAAGAAACCTATTAACTGGTACTTATTTATACCAGTTCCAAGTCCCACCCGGGTTCAGATCTCAATCCTGACTTCCATTTCACCTTCGTCGATGAAACATAAAACTTGCAAAAGAGAAAGAAAGTATTAAATAAAATACAAAAAAGCAGCAAGAAAAAAGAACCGATTAACTGGTATTTATTTATACCAGTTCCAAGCCACCCAGATCTCAGATCTCAATCCCAACTTCCATTTCATCTTTGTCGTCGACAAAACATAAAACTTGCAAATGAGAAAGAAGGTATTAAATAAAATACAAAAAGCAGCAAGAAAAAGAAACATATTAACTGGTACTTATTTATACCAGTTCCAAGCCACCTGGGTTCAGATCTCAGCCCGACTTCCATTTACCTTCGTCGTCGACGAAACATAAAACTTGCAAATGAGAAAGAAGGTATTAAATAAAATACAAAAAGCAGCAAGAAAAAGAAACCTATTAACTGGTACTTATTTATACCAGTCACCCGGGTCTCAGATCTCAATCCCAACTTCTATTTCATCTTCGTCATCGACAAAATATAAAACTTGCAAATAAGAAAGAAGGTATTAAATAAATACAAAAAGCAGCAAGAAAAAGAAACATATTAACTGGTACTTATTTATACCAGTTCCAAGTCCCACCCGGGTTCAGATCTCAGCCCGACTTCCATTTACCTTCGTCATCGATGAAACATAAAACTTGCAAATAGAAAGAAGGTATTAAATAAAATACAAAAAAGCAGCACTAACTGGTATTTATACCATTTCGAGTATTCTTATTTCGGGTCACATGACATGTAATTACATTAATTCGATTTGATCAATATGACGAAATTCAATCAAAGTTTAATTTTTTACTTTATAAAGGTTTTGATTACTAATCGACACTTTCTTTACTCAAAAATTATAAATGCCGAAATGCGAATACGTAAATCACAGGGACAAGAAAATGCGACAAACAATTTTTATTATGAAATTTAGAGTCAAATGAAGTAACTGAAGTTAAGAACTCAAAGCATATATTTGGACCAGAACTTGAGCATGCATTTAGAGAAGGTATGCACTTATAGAGGGCACATCCTGCGCCTATCGATCTTAATTTTATACGACAGTATGGTAGAGTGTTTGATGCACTATGTATTGTATATATAGTCTAATAGTAGAATTTTTGTGTACAATTTATTTATTTTTTTTGCTCTTTTCGTACATATAAAATATATATACGTAGGGTCTAATGAGCAATTAAGTATGATTTTTGATTAAAATAATAAAAGTATGAACCCAGAAAAAAAGAGATTTCGGCTTTCAAGTTTATTATTTATCAGATTCAGCTCGTGAAAAATCTGAAGTTTCATTTTCTCTTGGCAGCTCTAATTTATAGTTCATCAGTCGGAAATAACAAAACTTTTTAAAAATTTTTGTTTAATAAATATCATAATATAATTTAGGTTTAGAAATTTTGAATCTAAAAGCTAAGCTATCATAAAAGATTTATTATTATATTTTAAAGCATCATTTAAATTAACAGAAAAACAGATCGAGTAATACCTTTAGACTTAATTTTTGCAAGAAACACTTTTTTTTAAAAAAAAAAAGAAAAGCAAACTGGTCATCGAGCTCCTGTTCCAATCGTTCTGGCCTATGTTTGATACTCTCTGCACAATTTTCCTTAAGATAATGGTTAGGAATAATTTTTTTAACCTCTTTGATAAGGTCATCCTTGTTGAGCTTGGCATTTGACAACAGTTCAAAATTAAAACCAGACTGTGGAACAGCCTTATAAATGTGCTGACCCTTCATATTATTATGCGGGGGAATTTTCTTAGCAAGATTATCTCGGCGACCTTTCATTCCATAAGAACAAACTAACCGTAATAATAAAAAAAAAAAAACACATGAATATAAATATCTTTTTAAACTATCTTCTTTTGAGCTCGCTTATTAAAAACTCTTAATTTAGTATAAAAGTTATATACTATAAGAATATTGTGCAGAGTAAAACGTACATTACGATTATAGATTTAGAAAAAGGCCTTTGCCAAAATGACTGATTTTCTCAGTAAGTTTAACATCTTATTAAAACGAGAAAAAGTAATTTTAAAAAAACTAACCTTGCTCAAGAGCTATAGTTGAGCCAGCAGATTTGATATTGTGAGCTATGCCTACGTAATGTATATCAGATCTTGATATGAGACTGATCTTGGACCCGATATATTTAATACTGTTCATCTTTGTCTTGTAATGAGAATGTTAAAATTAAAATTAATACTGTATATTTTATTAGAACCTGAATTCACTGGCAAATATAGAACTACTGTAAATGACCTGATACAAAACCTGGGCCTCTTATATTTCGCCAAAAAAAATTAATTAGTAAAAAAATCTGATATATGGGGATCTTGTATCTGGCCATTTCATGGGTGGTACACAATACGCTGGGGTGTCAGACATCAGTGTAATTACAAACATAATGCAAGCCATAGTAAATTCCAATACTAATGATTTTTTATAGATCAACAATAGCAATAGTAAATTCAAGCTGCAATAGCTCCTGAACCAAAAATTCTACACAACTAAATTTACTTTTCCAGGTTCGTTTTAACATGCTCTTTAAAGTAACAATGTTTTTTGTTTTATTTGTATATGTTAAGATAAAAATCAATCATTAAAATTGAATATTTTGTAAGACAATAAAAGAGCATTGTTACTTTAAAGGGCATATCAAAACGAACCCAACAAATATAATTTATTTGTGGGTTCAAGAGTTAATGCAGTTTGAATTTTATATATTTTACTATTACTATCGTTGATCTATAAAAATCCTTATATTATTTACTATATGCCTTGCATTATGTTTGTAACTATACCAATATTTGATATCCCAACAATACACCATATTAAAGTCTTGATTTTACACATTGTTATAACATCCAGACTACAGGAGTGCGGTCATTTTTTTCGCCCCAATATTTAAGGTTGCGAGGATGACTAAAAAAAAAGTACTAAAGTTAGAAATTGGATCTGTGATTTTTTTTTTTTTACTAAATATAATAATAAATTAACGATACAATAAATTCTAGCCAAATATATACTTGACCTCTACAAATACACCTATTCTCCAAATACAAGTAATATATTCTTCGCAATGTTTATTTATTGTCGCGGCTAAAGCAGGAAATTTTAATTATTTATTTTAATATGAAATTTTTAAAAATTTTTGGGCCTTTTGTTAGAGGTTTTTTTAAGAGTTAAGTTAGGGTTTAGAGGTAGTTTTAATAATAAAAGAGTATAAGTAGATTTGTAGAGTTTATATTTTTAAATCAAGGTCTCTAATTTCCAGCTTCAGCCGTGACATTTATTTAATATAATTTCTTAATTAAGTAATTTTACATCACTTAAATTGTAAAGTCACATAATATCCGTTGTTTTTTTTTAAAGAAAAAAAACCAACAAATAAAAATATAGAATTAATCAAATGCCTCTAAAGAAATACTCTACCAAACGAATCAATTTTTGGTCACGTGCTAATTTCAGAAAATATAGTAGATAGACCTCTCTAATGCAGTCAAGTATATATATTTGGGCTAAAATTTGAGTGTGCATTTAGAGAGGTTGTACATTTAGAGAAGGTAAATTTAAGGTCTCACTATACAAACATTTTTTTTAAATGCCCGAACTTGAACATAAATCGAACCTAGACCCAGGTGCTGTGGTTCCCGACATAGTATGATCCCGAATATCCTATACAGTAAATATTAGTAATTTTTAGTATTTATATCAATATGTTTAAGTATTGTATATAAGTAACGAAAATAACAATGAATAAAGTAACTCAGTTTGAGTTCATCCTTAAAAGTAGTTCTACTCTATGCATTTCTTCTTCTGTCAATAAACTGATACTGAATATTCAGTGATTAATCCGAAGGAATAAAGGAGAGAGAATAAAGGTACTAAAGCACAGAAAGCAGATCTTATTTAAATAAAAATCTTGTGATCTACTTAAAATTTCTATAGACAGTGTGAATTATATAATAAAGTCTAAATGGACAATACTTAGAAACAGCTCAGATATTATTAATTAGCTGCTGACTGACCAATAACATGAATCTGTTAATTAACAAACGTAGAATTTCTGAATTAGAACATAACTAGATCAAGAAAGACTTAAAAGTTAGATAGACAATAGTAATTTTAGTTTGTCTCTATATCATGTAACAATAATTCAAACCAGAATTAGTTCTATTTTTTAATGATGCGTGTTGACATTGTCATTCCTGTCATAGAAAGTTAGAACAAAATCAATGCGACAATATCGATTTTACTTATTTTCATATTATAATACAAAACCTTAAAAGGAAGAATTAGCTAGGATTATGTATAGGAACTTAGTGGCTATTCCCTTTTTGGTTAAGTATCCCTTGCTATTCAAATATTTAAATCTCATATCCCTGTCCGTTAAATTGAAAAATTTTTAATTCCTCCAGGGTGCATCGGATGGAAAATTGGCAGCATTCCCCTGTTCTTTAAACTATTAAGAAATTTAAAAGAATATTAATTGATAAAATTTTAATTCCTCCAGGATGCATCAGATGTAAAATTGGCACCATCCCCTGTTCTTTAAACTATTAAGAAATTTAAGAGAATATTAATTGATAAAATTTTAATTCCTCCAGAACACATCAGATGTAAAATTGGCGCCATTCCCCTGTTCTTTAAACTATTAAAAAATTTAAGAAAATATTAAGAATTAAATTGTACAAAAAATAATAAGTGGTACTTGATAAATTTTCTCCATAAAATTGGTGATACCTGTTGATTAAACAATTAAGAAAATTAAGTTAAAATAAACATGGCAACTTAAGAATGTAAAAATCGGCAATATCTTACATCCCATTAAATATTAAATAAAAGACAGGTTATTAAGATAAAACTTCACGCATCGCATCAAATATAAAATTCGCATTATCCTGCCTGTTAACTGTTAAGAGAAAATTATATAAAATATAGTCTTAACTAAAAGATGGTAATTTTTAAATATCTTTTATCTGTAATTGTCAATAATATTTAAAATTAAAACTGTAATAAAGAATGATATACAGAATTAGACATGCAAACACAAACTGGATATTAGTATAACTACCTTCTACACTTGAATGGATAGAATCACCTTATATTTGCACGAATTCTAATACAAATAACTAACAAAAGCACATGGTCAATTGTTAAGTATATCACTTATCTGCTATAAATATGCCTTGAGATATGCTCTTTCTATTGACTTCAAATAATAATATTTCATTTCTTACATTACCGTTTTCTCGTCATATTAAATTCTTTTTTCTCATATTTTGCTTTTTTTTTTAATTCATCTTTTCCAATATTAAATAATAATATTCTGCTTCTTTTCTTTTATCTTATCCATATAAATTTTTCTTTTTTTTTTAATTCGTCTTTTCCATATTAATTCGTTTTTTCCAATATACAAACTAGCTCAAACACTCTAAATTATATTTATAAATCACCTACAAACCTGTATCAAAGGTTTTGTAACGCCTACGTGTATAATCGAATAGTAATTACTAAAAATCCAAAATATAAGAAGGTGTTATTGTGTAATGAGTGTAATAATGAGTGGAAAGAAATTAAACACAAAACGACACATGAAATCGAGAACATCATCGACATTCTTACTACCGTGATACCTATCATCCAAGACTCCAACATTAGTGTAGCCAACTCCAACACTGCTACTCATATCCTTAATGCTACCAATATCAATACCACTTATAACCTTAATGCAGTTAATACTAACACCAACACTCAAACCCTTAATATTGCCGACACCGATATCATTCAGCCTTCTTATAGCCTCAGTGCTACCAATATCAACATTGCCTATAGCCTTGGTGTTACCTCAAATAATATAGTGACTCTAAACTATATTTATAAATCATCTACAAACCTGTATCAAAGGTTTTGTAATGCCTACACGTATAATCGAATAGTAATTACTAAAAATCCAAAATATAAGAAGGAGTTATTGTGTAACGAGTGTAATAATGAGTGGAAAGAAATTAAAAACAAAATGATATATGAAATCGAGAACATCATTGACATTCTTACTACTGTGATACCTACCGCCAACCTCAACACTGCTACTCATATTCTTAATGCTACCAATATCAATACCGCTCATAACCTTAATGCAGTTAATACTAACACCAACACTCAAACCCTTAATATTGCCGATACCAATATTATTAAGCCTTCTTATAGCCTCAGTGCTACCGATATCAATATCGCCCATAGCCTTGGTATTGTTCCAAATAATATAGTGACTCTAAACTATATTTATAAATCACCTACAAACCTGTATCAAAGGTTTTGTAACGCCTATGCGTATAATCAAATAGTAAGTACTAAAAATCCAAAATATAAGGAGTTATTGTATAATGAGTATAATAATGAGTGGAAAGAAATTTTTTTTTTTTTTTTTTTTTTTTATATTGCCAAACGTAGGAACTTTATTAGTCATGATTCACACTTTTTTACAGAGCAATTAATATACAGTTTCTAATTACATTTGTGCTACTATTACTAGTCACCCAATATGGCATTATACTCCTTATTTTTCTATATTACTTTTCCATTAACTATTTCAAGCCAACTTCAAGCTAGGATCGG